CTGCTGGAATATATAAATAAAAGTTGTAATACCCTGTAGGAGAATATAGAGAGAGTAGCCTATAGGAGTACATACTGGAGTGAGAGATATGGGAGGAAGTGTAAAATAAACCCAGTGAGGAGCAGGGGTGCGGTGGGGACAATAAGGGAACACTGTATCAACATCCGGGGTCCCAGACTTAACATCTTACCAGAAGATATCAGAAACACTGCTGGATCAAGTGTTGAAGCCTTCAAGAGGAAACTATACAAGTATCTTCAGGTGCCAGATCAACCAGGCTGTGATGGATATGTGGGGTAGCGGGCCTCCAGCAGCAACAGCCTGGTTAACCAGGCGAGCACCAGACGAGCCTGGCCCATGGCCGGGCTCAGAGAGTAGATATACTCTCGAAATTCTTCAAAGGTAAGGTAAAGGTAAAGAGAGAGTACCCTGCAGTAGTATATAAACAGTACTATGCAGGAGTATATAAAGAGGTTGTAATGGCCTGCAGGGTGAGGTAACGCAAGAAGTGTACAAGTGGTTTGTTTACACAGTGGTTGAAGGGGTCGGAAAGGGATGGGAGGGGCGTCTTTGTCAACACCGGAAGAGCTGGTAAGAACAAACTCCGGTCACAGAAATTATCAACAACGGATTAGAAGACTGTCGGAATTGGGGCTTATTGTCAGGTGGTGTGTGGGAGCGGAGCTTTTGCTGTCACTAGAGGAGTGTTAGTCTTCCTTGAGCCTGGCCACGGGAGGCAGTGAGCGCGCGCGCTCTTAGAGCTAGTAGTTGCCAAACTTTAACATTGTGTGTGGTGATACTCATGATAAAACGGTACAGATCATAAAACTGAAAGAAGTGTATAAGTTTAAAGAACCTTAATCCATATTAAATACTTTAAGATCAAAATACCGTGTTATACAAAGTTTGTGATGTAGAAATTCTTACTCTGGCTAAATGGAATTTATGTCCATTGCGTGCTTGTGCCCTCAAGAGCATTGGAAAAGAATAAAAACCTTCCTATCAGATGATCAGTACATTATTGTGGGGATCATTCACTGAATATCAGAAAACGTTTGGGCATTTGTGCCAAACATTGACCCTAGACTATGGTCGAGTGTTCAAGCATAGTTTGTGGCATTATTTCGCCTCTACGCCTGAGGTTTATATTAACTTGGGTGTTTCGTTGCCATATACAATGTATTAGTCATTGGAGACACTTGATGCAGGTGTGACTGCCAAGCTCACACTTGAAGGTAGGCGTGTTGTTGCATGTAGCTAATACATTATTACTGTTACTTTACTCTTCAGGTTATTACAAAGTTGTATGCTATGCTGTTTGTGGTGACACATTATTTTGAGTATTTAAAGTATATAGTTAAAAAGAATAAAAGTAATAGTACAGTGGCTAAAATAATTCACAAATAACAGGTAAGTTTAGACGACGTGTAAGTCCGTCCAGACTTGAATTGTCCGAAAACGTCGTCTATAGTTTCCTCTCAAACTATACATAGTTAATATTATGAAAGTTATTATACGTTTTAATATTAAAGAACAGTGCCGGTATTTAGTGTAGCTCCTTTATCTTGATCGAATGCGTATGTATGCATTTACAAAGGGTACTTACTGTTTTACAGTGGCGCATTGAGCTTAATGTTCTCTTTACATACATTAAATTTCGAAATGTGATAGTGTGGCTGGCTAGGTATTGCAGTGAGAGTGGACATCAGTGTGAGCTGCGTTGATAATGTGGTCACTTGGGGAAAAAAACACTACCAGGATGGAACAACGGTGTGACCTAGAGCTCAGCGGATGTAACTTTTCCTTTAGCTGCAGCACTTCCTCTCCGGGAATGACGCACGTGCTGGTTATAACTAACGCAGGTGCTCTCTTGTGCTACCTCAACACAAGTGTCTCGGGGGAAATGCTCATTACGTCTGCTTTCACTTAATTTGGGGGAAGTACAAGTTTCTCAGGAATAGCTAGGTATTGTGGTGATAAGATTATTGACCGGCAGAAGTATTGTAAGGAGTTTTGAGTTAGTGGTTGAGAGTAGTGAAGATGTGTACCGGTGCCTCTTGTCAAGGAATTAACCAGCGTTATAATCGCCACATTCAGCCAGTACTGTCGTGTCTGAGGGTAATGGCACGAGTTACGGTGAGGCTTTCATAATGTCCTTCCGGTTGTTGACCTACTGGGCCACAAGAGGCCTTACCAAGGTTCAGCAACACTAACGTTTCTGCAGATCAGGACCACATCTCATTAAATTTTACTATGTATAAACGTTACATTATTAAATTATCAAAGGGTTATAGGTAAAATATTGATAATAAATTTACCGAATGGAGTTAACGTGGGTTCTGGAGGAAAACCGCACTTGTCCAATAAATATAGTTTTTGCACAGACAAATGTGTGATTATTATTGCTGTCAGACTCTTGCAGAGTTATAAACTTTTATATGTGAAAGACACTTCTATGTTTATTACAGAATAATTATTCAACAATCCCCAAACGCTGTGGGTGTCATTCAGTGTTTGTTAATTCTTATGCACTATTTCGCTTTTTAAGTGCCTTTCTCTTATTTTGAGAGGTATGCTTTGTGACACAGTGAAGATAATTTAATGTATTTAGGTATCCCTGAAGGGGTACCTGTGTGTATTCTTAAATGAAGCCCCACATTGAGTTTAGGTTATGTAAGTTTTAATTTAGACTTCCAGTTTTATTGAACAGATTGGTTTCCGTGCAATAATTGGGGAATGCCACTTCTGGTCGGTTTCAGACTTTAAATGCTGGTGTATCTTACTTCGAGAAAGGTTGAGTGATTTTAGGTTGTGCAGGTATTAATTTTTATTGGTACATACACAGCCCAGAAATGAAGCAATTGGGAAAATTGAAATACACATGTACTGGTTTTCATGCGATAATTTGTGAATGCCTAATCCTATCAGCTTCAAAACTTCAGTATTCAACTTCTGAGAGGCTTCAGCTTAGTGCTAGTGTTTTTTGGGGGAATATTTGACCTATGCAATAACTAAAGAATATCTCTTCTGATTGGATTTAAACTTTCAAAGCTGGTATATCTTAGTAGAATGTTCATATTGATTTTGGTTGTGTAGTTGCCAATTTATCAGTTTTATTTCCAAGCAATAACTTGTGAATGCCTCTAATGATTGGCATCAAATCTCTAACGCTGATGTAAAAAAAATGCATTAGAAAAATATGTAGTACTCTTTACTATTCCTTTTGCATGTATTGACATGTGTCCATGGTGAGCACTAAACCCATAGGGGTCATGCAGCACCTGGGGAAATGGAAGACATTCAGGTTTGCTTCAGTATTGAGGTAGAGGGGACTGGGTTTATGGGATACGGGGATACCTGTCTCGGATCACCCAGGAACAGGTACACGTCTAGTTGTTATGAGAGTGCAACAGACAAGTATAGTAGTAGCAGCAACACACACAGCAAGAGGCATTCTTGAGCTTCCCCAGCACTCGGGCCTTGGCCCAGAGCTGGGGTATGACTGGGGTATGCTTGCTGCCTTTGCACCTCCAGACATTCTGCTGCTATGCAGCTGCCACACCCTTTGAGCCCAGTGTGGGCCGGGTTTGTGGCAGCCCAAGGTGCTTTTCTTCTCCCTCCGAGCCCTGTGGGGGCGGGGAATGGGGCTAGGCCTGGGGACAGCTGGTCCCAGAAGACAAGAGGGGGTACTTATACCTCCTCCCATAGCAGACATTGGTCTGAGACACTCCTTCGACAGGGAGCCAAGGCTGGGCCACCTCTTGAAAAAGGCCCGGGCCGGGTGATTATACTGGCGAATCTACAACAGAACAGAACAATTGTTATATTCACAAATCTCTCAAACATCTGGTGGCCTGGTGGCTAAAGCTTTCGCTTCACATGGTGAGTGTCTGGGTTCGATTCCCAACCAGGGTAGAAACATTGGTCGTGTGTCTGGGTTCGATTCTCAACCGGGGTAGAAACATTGGTCGTGTTTCTTTACACCTGTTGTCTATGTTCACCCATCAGTAAAATGGGTACCTGGGTGTTAGTCGACTGGTGTGGGTCGCATCCTGGGACACTGACCTAATTTGTCCGAAATGCTCAGCATAACAAGAGGCTTTCTATATGGTAGTGTGTCATTGATGTTGGCTAGGCCTGTATACCATGTACATGTACTTCTAGTAAATAAAGATATTATAGTTTTCATACGAGGTTGATTTTTTTTAACGTGTTCAGTTTATGGCAAGTGGTTTGCTGTAATACAAATTGTAGATTATATGTAGTATTTCTGTATACTGTCTAATGAGTGAAGGCAATTTTATGCATTTTTGTGGTAAGTATGCTACGTTTTTTATCACAAAGAACTTAAAAGGTACTGTAATTATTAGTCATGCGAGGTAATGGATGGTGTAATTATTATATTCATGTGAGCTAATAAATGGTGTGGGGGTGGCTGTTCTTAGGGGACTAATTCTTGATTCCTTTCTTGCTGGTGGTGTGTGTGGTGACCTGAGCATCCTGTTTTCTCAGTTTGGCCGTGAGCTCAACACTGTAACTCTTAATTTGTCCCACATTTTTATTAATTGCATTAATTACAAGGTCTTTGCCTTCTACATAACCAGCATATAGGAGAGAGAAGCTTATGATGACGTTTCAGTCCGAATTGGACTTTGTAAGTAGTCAATCAGACCATAATGTCATAAGATTTACTCCTATGTGCGGGTTATTTGTGTATTGTTCCAGTCGTGGAACAGTACACAGATAACCCTTGTGTAACATCTTATGTTCAAGTGATATAGTTTTAAAGACAAAATTCACATCACTTTCGCAATTCACAACCCACGAAGTGAAGAAAACTGGATGACATTTCAGCCTCTCCTGGACTCATGAGTGTTAATGGTCCAGTATGGGCCAAAACCTCATCTAGTTTTCATCTCCATTATGCGAATTAATTGTGACTAGTTTGGGAGGCTGCATAACATAGTGTAGTAATATGTACTAAATACTTGTTATTCCAGAACTTCTTCAGCAAGAGGTCATTTAAGAGTAACCCTCTGAAGAGGACCAAGTCTGTCACAAAGTTAGAGAGGACCAAGCGAGGTGGGCGTGGAGGTGTGGGTGGTTTGTTGGAGCCTGACCCCCTCAGTCTGGGTTCCTCAGCACGGCTGAGATCTTCACGCTCACACGAGTCCCTCTTATCTAGTCATAACATGATGAACACACTCGACCTGGCTGCTGGTGAGTTAACCTGTTCATGCAATCTGGCAACAGTCTGATTGGCAAACACCAAACAAGCCTGGCCCAGGACCAGGCTGCAGTAGGAATACTCGAAACCCTTCAGAGGTATTCTGCTATAGGTGCCAGATAAACCGGGTAGTGATGGCTATGTATCCTTGCTGGCCACTATAAGAAACAGCCTGGTTGACCAAGGAGTCAACAGGAAAGCCTTTCCTCAGGCTGGGGAATGGGAGGCAGACAGGTTTGATTGGAGGAAAGGGAGGGCATCTTGAATTCCCTGGATCAGGGGCCTTTCACCCCCATCAAGGCACCTCCCCCTTGAAGGACCTAAACATTCACTTTTGCTCTTGGATGATCTTGGGGTTCACTGCCCCTGCAGTCAGGTACCAGACCAGGTTATCATCAGTTTCTTTTAGTTACAGTTATACAGTACCATTTTCTAAAAGTTGATCATAAATATGAATAAAAACAATCTGAAATGATTAAAGGCTATGTTGAATTAGAAATATTGGAAATAATTATAATAATTGATTATGTAATATAGGTATTAATATTGATAGTAATTGATGTGCCTTTGGTATCACAATTGATGCACTAATGGTATCCATATAAATATACCATTGGTATCAGTATTCATGCAACATTAGTATATCAGTATTGATACACCATTGGCATCAACAATGGATGCACCATTGGTATCAGTACTGATGTACTATAGGTACTAAAATTGAACTGTTACCAATATTGATGTATGGTATACTTGTGTTACCAATATTGATGTAATGTTGATATCAATACTCACGTATTTAGATAAGGCTAAAGAGGTCTTTGTGGCATTTATGGATTTGGAAAAGGCATATGACAGGGTGGATAGGGGGGCAATGTGGCAGATGTTGCAGGTGTATGGTGTAGGAGGTAGGTTACTGAAAGCAGTGAAGAGTTTTTACGAGGATAGTGAGGCTCAAGTCAGAGTATGTAGGAAAGAGGGAAATTATTTCCCAGTAAAAGTAGGCCTTAGACAAGGATGTGTGATGTCACCGTGGTTGTTTAATATATTTATAGATGGGGTTGTAAGAGAAGTAAATGCGAGGGTCTTGGCAAGAGGCGTGGAGTTAAAAGATAAAGAATCACACATAAAGTGGGAGTTGTCACAGTTGCTCTTTGCTGATGACACTGTGCTCTTGGGAGATTCTGAAGAGAAGTTGCAGAGATTGGTGGATGAATTTGGTAGGGTGTGCAAAAGAAGAAAATTGAAAGTGAATACAGGAAAGAGTAAGGTTATGAGGATAACAAAAAGATTAGGTGATGAAAGATTGGATATCAGATTGGAGGGAGAGAGTATGGAGGAGGTGAATGTATTCAGATATTTGGGAGTGGACATGTCAGCGGATGGGTCTATGAAAGATGAGGTGAATCATAGAATTGATGAGGGGAAAAGGGTGAGTGGTGCACTTAGGAGTCTGTGGAGACAAAGAACTTTGTCCTTGGAGGCAAAGAGGGGAATGTATGAGAGTATAGTTTTACCAACGCTCTTATATGGGTGTGAAGCATGGGTGATGAATGTTGCAGCGAGGAGAAGGCTGGAGGCAGTGGAGATGTCATGTCTGAGAGCAATGTGTGGTGTGAATATAATGCAGAGAATTCATAGTTTGGAAGTTAGGAGGAGGTGCGGGATTACCAAAACTGTTGTCCAGAGGGCTGAGGAAGGGTTGTTGAGGTGGTTCGGACATGTGGAGAGAATGGAGCGAAACAGAATAACTTCAAGAGTGTATCAGTCTGTAGTGGAAGGAAGGCGGGATAGGGGTCGGCCTAGGAAAGGTTGGAGGGAGGGGGTAAAGGAGGTTTTGTGTGCGAGGGGCTTGGACTTCCAGCAGGCATGCGTGAGCGTGTTTGATAGGAATGAATGGAGACAAATGGTTTTTAATACTTGACGTGCTGTTGGAGTGTGAGCAAAGTAACATTTATGAAGGGGTTCAGGGAAACCGGCAGGCCGGACTTGAGTCCTGGAGATGGGAAGTACAGTGCCTGCACTCTGAAGGAGGGGTGTTAATGTTGCAGTTTAAAAACTGTAGTGTAAAGCACCCTTCTGGCAAGACAGTGACAGTTTTTCTTTTTCGGGCCACCCTGCCTTGGTGGGAATCGGCCAGTGTGATAATAAAATAAAATTATATATATATATATATATATATATATATATATTATATATATATATATATATATATATATATATATATATATATATATGAAAATAGTTATAGGCAAAAGCTGTGCCATATAAATAATAGCATATCCTTAAAGTTTTATAATTTACTGTGATAACATGATTTTTGATTACTGCTTACTGTTAGGTGTCTCATGAATTTTGTGTCCCCAGGTGAGGTGACCATCAAACCACTTCATGCCAGTGTGCTGGGCCAGGAGCATTGCTTCCAGGTGAGCCGTGATAATCTAGTAAGAAATACGTACGTACAAACAATTTATTTCTTTTCTGCAGTATACAGGTAATGTAATTTACATGTAATAAAATATTGCTAGGCACGAAAAAAAACAATATCGTGCAGTACTATATTTTTGCCAGATAAGCAGTGATAGTCTAGCTGATCACCACAGTACTACACACACACACACACACACACACACACACACACACGCGCCAATACTTTACTTTTATTCCGAATGTTATGATGCTTGGTATGTTCAGTAATTAATCTTTTTGATGAGTCACGTAAGCACTGTCAAGGGAATCTGCATATATCCACACCTCAGGAAGTTTTCAAATATGTTATCAAAAGGAAGGTGTCATATTAGTAGAGATTTCAGGTATTTTCACTCTGCAAATCATTACTTCAGATCAGAAAATACTGTGTAAAAGATTTTTTTTTTTTTCAACACTGGCCATCTCCCACTGAGGCAGGGTGACCTGAAAAAGAAGAAAAGAAAGTTTTTCTTCGTTTTACATTTCATAGTTTATACTGGAGAAGGGGTTGCTAGTCCTTTGCTCCCTAAAAGAAATATACAGTACCTAAAACATTTTATTTATGTTTTGCCAACCAATACACAGCATAGAAAACAGTACAGTGTATGGCATATCAGGTGAGGTGGTGCATGGGCTGGAGGGTGGAGCTAGGTGGTATTTGTGTTCTGCCTAGGTAAGGCTTATTGGACAGATGAACACAGAAATGCTTGCCAAAGAGACGATTCAAACAGCACCTGCACCTTTACAGCATGACACCGATAACCATTGTATGGATTTCCTGATGGCCAGGCTTATCATCAAGGACTTTGATCAATGTTGCATGTGCTGTTTAGAATTGGCTCATTGCTACTACTAACCCTATCACTCAGAACACTGACAGTTTTATGATTTCAGAAATTTTTGTCTAATAAATCCTCCCCAAGCAGGACACAGCCATCACCTAGCTCATGCACCACTTGACCTGATCCATTATACATGCTGTACTGTTTTCTGTTCTTTGTGTTGAATTGGTAAAGCCACTGGTTGGCAAAACTTTTCCTTAATAACATGTCTTAGTTATGGCATAGATATCTCATATAATTGATGGTGCTACCATTTGTAATCTCAGAAAATGTTATGACCCAAGCTGCTCAAACTTCCACCTTTCCTGCAGAATAGTTTGCTCCAAGGAGAGCGAGGATAGCTCCAATTCCTTAAATCAAGAGTTCAAGTGTGAAGGGGGTAGCATATAGTTGTTTCAGACATAATTCCTCCTATTTCCTTGAGTGAAATTTCATTTAATGGGAGTTTTGTACAGGGCCAGTTGTAATAAGGTATTTGTTTTAATGCTAAATTGATTAAAAGAAATTATAAATATTTCTTCTGGTAAGTTTTCTCAATGGTACCATCCTACATTTCATCAAATTACTAATACCTAATAATATATTGAGGATATTTAAATATTGTTTTTAGGTAAATGCTGAATGCATTTTTTACCATGTAGCAATTTAAATTTATTTGCTTATTTGTACCTACCTATAAGAATAGATCATATGCTGGTTATGACTAAAGTATTTTATAATACTTTTCTGCACTGCTACTTTTATAATGAAAAGTACTGCTTGTTATTATACTGTATATTCAAAAAAAAAAAAAAAAAAAAAAAAAAAAGGATCGTGGTTCAGTCTCTGGGCAAGGCAAGACATATATTAAAGTATCTTACACCTGCCACCCCTATTTACCTAGCAGTAAATAGATACCTGGGTGTTAGTTGACTATTATGGGGAAAGGTCAGATGCTAATAATAATGAAGGCAGGATACCGAGTACATTGCTCCGTGCTGCCAGTAGGTTATTATAAGTAGGCTGTCACTTCAGACTGCAACAACCACTGAAAGCTTTAATTTTTTTTATGGCAAACTTATTGCACTGAAGTATGTAATTTAGGATATTATTATTATTATTCTTGTAATCAAAAAGAAGTACTAAACCTACAAGGGTCATACAGCGCCTCCGGGCAGGGAAGGATGCAGGGGGTATTTGGTAAGGAGAGGGATGATTATTAGGTCATGGAATGCAGCGGGGGCAGTGGATAGTGCAGGGATAGAGAGTAGCAAGTAATCTAGGATAGTTTTACACTACAATAATATATGAAAAAAATATAATTTATTATGGATTCCTTATTTTCTGTATATACACCTACCATCCGACTTACGACCTGCTTGACTTACGACCACTTGACTTACGACTGTGTTTTTTATGCCAAATTTCTGGGAAATGAACAACTATTTGTATTGTACACAGTGTTTATCCTAAACCTTACAGTATAAAATACAGTACTAACAGCATAAAAAGTAAAGTAAAACATGAAATACCAAAATAAAACAATAAAATAAAGTCATTACAAAAATGTTTGTTGATATTCAGTAGTAAAGTTCGACTTATGACCATTTCGATTTACGACCGGTTTCTTGGAACCGAACTCGGTCGTAAGTTGGATGGTAGGTGTAATTGTTTTTATGATAAAATGAACTTTTAATTTCATGTACAGAAAAATATTTCATGGACCTCAGGTTTTTGTAGTGCATTTTTCTATTTCATCAGATTAAATGATGCATTTTTAATAATACTTATTTAACTCTTATTTGGTTTTCCAGGTGACTTCCCCAACTGGCACCCGCTACTTTAGTTGCAGAACTGCTGATGAAAGAGACAGATGGGTTGACTCCCTCCGCAAAGCTGTCAACCCTAATTATGATAGTATTCGGAGAACAGAGAATTCTATAAAAATATTTATCCTGGAAGCTAAAGGTGTTAGTAATAAGAAAAGGTAAGCCAGTAAAAGTAACTTTCATATGAATGGTTGGTTCATTGCTTCTAGCCTTAAAAAATATATGCTGTTTACTATCATTTAATGGTTCTTATTGTCTCCTTTGCATTAAAGTTCATCTGTGGAATCACCTCATAGACAGTATACTTTATTTTTGTTTGTTTTAGATACTTTTGTGAGCTGCTTCTAGACACCTCCTTATATGCACGTACATCGAGCAAACAAAAGATTGACATGTGCTTCTGGGGAGAGCAGTTTGAGTTCAGCAGTCTGCCTTCTGTCGAGACAATTAGTGTTGCTCTTTATAGAGAAGGAGAGAAAAAGAGAAAAAAGGTGAGAGCCAAGTTTTATATGGTGAACATTATCAACATTTGCCTTAGAATTATTTATTGTATCATCATTTTTGAGATATTTTCCAATTTCTTGCTGCAGTAACTGCAATCTAGGCTTAATCTATATATCTTTGATGCCTGTTTTTCAGTGTGGCTTTTTTTTTTCATTAAGTAAACACTTAAGTGTTTTTGAATCCGATTTTGTCAATAATTTCATGTTATATCTAGTAACTTTCACAGTTTAAAGAAATTTGTATAATGGTTTAAAACCAACAAGTTGAAGATTGAGACACTTATGCATCATATGGGAATTTTTAGTAAAGATTCCCATGGGATGCATGTCTCAAGAAATTTGTAAATATAATACACAATCATAATATTAAACATGTTGATTTGCCAAATGTGGTTGCCACTATTATTCATCAATAATAGTATCAGAGTTTTTCTTTGGATTAAAGTATTTTAAATTCCAGATTGAGAGTTCTGACTTGTTTTTCTTGTTTCTTTATTAGGAGAAGAATATTTTGGTTGGGACAGTGAATATACCAGTAGCCAATGTGACAAGTCGCTGTCATATTGAGAAGTGGTACCAAGTACAAAATGACAACAGGGCACCAAGTAAAGATAATGCAGCACTCAGAATCAAGTGCAAATTTCAGTCAATTGATATTCTTCCAGTTGAACTTTATTCAGATTTCCTCCAGGTTTGTTTCAAAATTTCGTTTGGTAAATTATACTGAAATATAGGCAGTTTATGCATTTATAAGTTTTCTTCATGTAATGTGTAAGCTTTTCAAGTACAGTCAGCATTATTTGTTAAACATTTCTTGAGCACATCTTAGAAAAATGAATTGTAGTGCTGATCTAAAATACACGCTCTTCAGTTATTTGTAATTACCTTCACTAACTTCTTGCAGTATGTGAAGGCAAACTACAGCTTGATCTGTGAACTACTGGAACCAGTCATTAGTGTAAAAGCCAAAGAGGACATTGCAACAGCATTAATTCATATCATGCAGAGAGAGGGAATAGCAAGAAACTTTTTGGCTGACCTTGTCATGATGGAGATTGAGAGAATAGGTAAGAATTACTTCATTTTTACTATCCAGTTTTATATGTCACTAGCATCAGGGTACCCCTCATCAAGGCTTGTTTTGTCTTAGTTTGGAGAAACTAATGAAGATGGCTCTTTAATTTAATATCCCTTGTCTCCTCTCCACACCCCACTTCTCTCTACATGACAATTTCAATTTAATTAAATACAGTAGGACCCCCATATCGACTGGCAATACGTTTCAAGGACCTGCCCTGGATACCAAAACCATGGGTAGTAGCAAACCCTATATATAAGTCCTATACATACCTATTATAGGGTTTAATTGATAAATTATGCAGTATTATCACTTTTTCACTGATGGGAAGCATTTCATGGCTTCTCTTAGGCTTTGAAGAACTACTAGCTTCTCGATTTTTTGTACTTTGGAACCATTATTATGCAAAATTTAGAGGTATTTTTGGGCCACAGTAAACCGTGGATAACTGAAACCACGGATACTGAATTAGTGGATACGGGGGTTCCACTGTATTTATTAATATCAGTGACTGACAGTATATTCATTATTATATTGAGTAATGGTTACATTAATATGCAGTTCAGTAAGTATACTTAGGGTAAATATTTTAAAGATTCATTTGTTATATTGTAACATTTTCAGATGATTCTCATCTGTTGTTCCGTGGTAATTCATTGGCAACAAAAGCCATGGAGGCATTCATGAAACTGGTGGGCACCAAGTACTTGCTTGATACCCTGAGGCAGGTCATCAACAAGGTTGTAGAAGCTGGACTTGACTGTGAAGTGAGTGTTCCTCTTTATCATAATCATGACCATCATGGTGAAGCCCTAACTCAAAAGGGTCATGCAGTGCCTGGGAATGGGAAGTCATGAGGTTTGATCCAAGGAATCGAAGAACAGCTCCAGTTCTTTAGATCAAGAAATATTCACCAACTTCAAGGCACTTTCCTTGAAGGGTATTATTGTTGTATTTTTTAACTTTAGTGTTCTTAGCAGCCTTATAACACTGGTGAAAGTGTCCATTTTATTTTCAGCACGAATGTTTTTATATGTCCTCTGTTCAATGAAAATCTTTAATAATTTCACATGCATTATTTTTGTATTCCTGTAGACAAGTATTCTAAATACAAATATTAATTTATGAGTAATGTTACTAAAAGCTTTGACATTTGGAAACCACTCAGAAATTTACCCACAAGAAAACAACATTACAGCATCATGAGTAGTGACAAGTGATGCAGCTTTACACAGACAAGCCACTCAATGATGTTTCAGTCCAACTTGGCCCAGTAATGTGTGATTTGTTCAAGGACCAAAATGTCATAAGTTTCAGTCTCCTAAATTTGAGTTATTTCTGTATTGTTCCAGCCACAGTATTACAACTTTTTATTCTTTATTTTGGAGAATTCTCATGTTCCTGTCATTCTAATGAATGACAGGAACATGAGTTTTATTCAGAATCTAGTTATTTTTAGTTTAAAATTTTTCTGATGGCACATATATGTAGCATACATTGTTAATAAGTTATTTAGATACAGTAGTATAACCTATGATAACTGTGATAGCTTCCACTGGAAGCGCTTTACTTATGCTTTGCTTACCCAGTTTGTCCAAAAAAATTTTTACACTGACTGAATCTCTCCTTTCAATACACCAGCCGTATCCCACCGAGGCGGGGGAGCCCAAAAGGAAAAACGAAAGTTTCTCCTTTTACATTTAGTAATATATACAGGAGAGGGGGTTACTAGCCCCTTGCTCCCGACATTTTAGTCGCCTCTTACAACACGCATGGCTTATGGAAGAAGAATTCTGTTCCACTCACTAACTAAATATGGTATTTAAATGTTTTTTGGCTTCAGCAAGAGAAGTATGCAAATTATAATTTCCTTCCCAAGTGAGAAACTGTTGTTTGATTAGTTATTTGCCATGTATAATCATACAAAGTGTTATAACCTGTAGGGATTAACAGCACCTTGGGAATGGGAGGTAATTTTAATCCACAGGAGAGGGTTAGGTCCAATTCTTTGGATCAAGAACCTTCAGCATCAGGGCACCTTTGTTAATATATATAAAAAAAAAAAGATGGTAGATTGACATGCATCACTCTTATCTTTGCAGGTTGATCCCATGAAAGTACCTCAGATATCATCACTTCAAAAGCAACAGGAAAACCTCTTATCTATTGTACGGATGACATGGTCTCGAATCCTTAACTCTCATCCATTTTTCCCCCTGGAGCTTCGGGACTGTTTCTGCATGTATCGGGAGCGTTTAGCCACCATCGGCAAGCAAAACCTTAGTGATAACTTGATATCAGCATCCATTTTTTTAAGATTTCTGTGTCCTGCAATCCTTTCACCTTCACTTTTTAATATCACACAAGAATATCCAGATGAAAGAACCTCTAGAAATCTTACTCTTATTGCCAAAACTCTTCAGACTCTTGCAAACTTTACAAAATTTCAAGGCAAGGAAAATTTTATGGAATTTATGAATGAATTCATTGAGTTAGAGCAGGCTCAGATGAAATCATTTTTGAAGCAGATCTCAAGTCCAGCAACTCATGACCACAGAGCACTTGAATATGACAAAGACATTGATATAGGTAAAGAGTTGTCTTTATTACATACCTTCCTCAGTGAAGCTCTTAGAAAGCTGTCAACATCCACTTCCAAAACCAACATAAGTGTATCTCAGCAGCGTTTCCTAGACAAGCTACGTCAAATACTCGACGAGATCAGTGTTGCTCAAACTCAACCAAATATAAATATTGTGCAACGACTCTCATCTCGCAATACACCTGAGACGCCAATTTCAGGTCCAGCACCTACCCCTGATAATGGAAGAATGGAAGATAGACTTGGCTATCAGTCTCTTCAGAGAAATATTTTCCGTTATAATGATCCTACTGTCAGTGACGATTATCGACCAGTTCCTCCTCCACCTGTAAATCATCTCCAGCCTCCTCCAGATACTCCATCCACTCCACGCCCATCTACTTTGCCAAGAAATACATATCTGATGGGCTCAGCTCGCAAGCCAGCCATTGACCTCAACACAGCCGATGACTATGTTCTTTTCTCTGCCTTGGAACATGATGGAAAACCCAGAGAGCCTAATGCTATTGGTCATAGCTACAGTTACAGTCACCTTGCCCCTGGCCCAGTTCAAAATGCATCTTCTCCAGTTCATAACCACAGCCATCACCATCACTTCCACAATCATGCAGCATGGTTCAATAATAGGCAAGTTTTCAATGGTCACTCACAAATAAATGGCCATGGCCAAGTTCATCAAAATGGTCATACGGTGTCAAATGGAAATCCCGAGGAGCCTTTGGACATTAGCCATGAGGAAAATGATCGAAATTCGACAGGAGAAACTGAAACAAATATGAAGGGCTCACAAACTTCGATCTCTCAGTTATCTAATGTAGCATCTTCAGGATATCAAAGTTTTGCATACAGTCAATCCTCTAGTCCAGTGGATCCATCAATAACTCACCATGATGCTGCAAATAACAATAACAGTAATAATAATGCAGCAGTGAACAGTTGCAGTAGCAGTAACAACAGTGGTGGAATGCATGCATCACCCCATATGACCCCACAGCTGGCAGCTCCTTTGGCTTTCAACAACCCCATGTATCATCTCAATGCTACTACTAGCTCTCCTCGACCTGTTCCACATCGTGGAATTCATCTAACTCACCATCACCACCACCATCATCTTCACCAGAATGCACAACAGCAGCAAAGCCCAGTGAGCTCTTCACTCAGTTCTGCTCACAGTGTTGAGGACTTGCCATCTGCCCCAACACTGGCTCCTAGTTTACCTTCAGCACGTGCTCCCCAGCGCACCCATTCATCTTCTAGTGAAGATAGTACATCGCTAGCATGCACCCCACCATTAGAGCAACGGGCATTCAAATCTGGTGCACCTAGAACCAATCCTCGATGTTTACCTCCTGGATGGGGTCAGCCAACTATAGTGCCTGGTGTAACACCTGATCACCACCATTCTACATCAGATCTGTTGGGAGGGGCACAGTGTCGTAGAACGAAAGTGAGTCGTCGGCAGTCAGCAGAAGTTGGTAGTGGGAGACGACAACGATACCAGTATGATAGTGATTCTTCAAGTGATGAGCAGCAGCCGCCCCCTGCTCGCTTGCGTCCAACTCGTGCAAACCACCGGGTGTCGGAGACCAAAACTCTTGATGAGGTGAGTTATAAGCAGTTGTACTGACAAGTGTATTGCTAGTTCAAGACTGATTTTAATAGTATTTTAATATGAACAGTAAACTGTAAATGTATTTGTCTTTCTACAGTATGAGCAAGAAATCCTTGCACTTCGTACTGCCATGGAGGAAATGCATCATAAGTTGGTTGCTGCAGATGAACACATACAGGTTCGTTCTGGTGGTCCTGAAGCCTCTTCTGAGGTTGTTTCGTCTGCCCTACCCCATGAATCCCATGCTCTTCACCACTCTGGTAACCTGAGCAGTAGTCCAGTTCAGCCATCAGCTCACCTCCAACATAATAGGCACAACCACAAAAATCCCCAATATCCACAACCTCAACAGATGAATGATTCGGAGGGTCAGGGAACTCAGATGAGAGAGCTGCTTCAAAAGTAAGTTGCACTTTTAATGTTTATGCATCTATTAAGGAAGAGGATGAGTTTTGTAGAAATTTCCGAGATATGTAAACAGTTTGAAAGCACTTATATCTTGCTTGAAATGTTGCCGATTCAAACTAACATAATTTATAAGGTATAGTGAATTTAACAACAAAGTATTTCTATATTCAAAATACGTAAGGTGAAATTTCTTTACCCATTACACATATTCAGATTTATGATAGCTTATGTAATGTATAAATCAGTACATAACCAGCTGTATTTTCCTTATTAAAGGCTACAAGAACAGTTTCGAAAGGAGCAAATGAAAATGACAGAACTGATGTCAGAAAAAGATGCAGTAATACAAGCACAGGAAGACAGGATCAACGCGCTGGATCGCACCAATACACAACTTCTTATGGCTCTCGAGCAGATCAGGGAGTTGTAAGTCAACCTACAACGCAGAATTCCCAAGACTTCATTAACTCACCCGTAGGCATTGCTAATTGTTGCTTTGAAAGCTTGGCTCACTTAAAATTTATACTGTAATTACATGTTAGACTGAAATGCTTTTTTAAGGTAATGCGAGATATCCCATTTCAACCTGAAGGTACATATAAAACATTATTATAGATGGCATTCACTGAAACCATCTATAAAAAAGATTAACAGTATGGAAAAAATATAAGCACTTGCAACACCTCTTATTCATTACTCTTGCTGTTAAAAAAAAAAGTATTGCATTAAACAGCAAGTTGGTGTACACTACACCAAATACCTACCTAGGTGTATTGTCACCTTTCCAGCATGCTGACTGCTTATGTTGTTAATATTGCAAGTATATTAGTAATGAATACTAATTCTCCTCGGTTAAATTATGGCCTAAAGTTGCTGGCTGCTTATTGCTTTATAGAAAAGTATATCATAGAATACTTTGTTATACTTGCACTTCACTAAGTGCTTGTCAGTTTGCACTAGTAGTATCAGGTATGAAAGGATGGTGTATGCATGTCTCTACATTTAGTTAAGATCTTAATACTGAACTAACCCGAGAATAGACAAACTTTGCACTTCGTGCATATACAGTGGAACCCCAGATTTCACACGCACCGGATATCAGACTTTTTGGATTTCAGACACACTTTTGTGCAAAATTTTGCTTTGAATTTCAGACCTTGTCCCAGGAATCGCATGTATCAGACTTGTTCACCTGCTGGGATGCCGCTTCATTCTGGCTCTGTTACTGGTATAGTGACCATTCATCCGAAACATTTCGCAATTTTTGTGCTTGTTTATTGGTTGTGACTGCGAAATAAGCCACCATGGGCCCAAAGAAAGTTCCTAGTGCCAGCCCTTGGTAAAGGGCTGAGAGAGAGGGGAGAATGTGCCTTCTTAAGTGATTCTACGATACGTACAATACTAAAGTGGCAGGAGTCGATGAAGGCTATAGTGCTAGCCAGCGATAAAGTGTAGCAAGTAAGTTAAGCAATTAAGTGATAGAAAAAGGACAACATGAAACTAAATCTTCCAATGTTATTGGAGGTATATAGGGCCACTGACAACATATGCCGCCCTGCGTATCTTCCACCACCCTAAACCTCTGCCCGCATCTCAATAACCACTTTATTTCTTTACATTCATGGTTATGTTTTATACAGTATTTCTTAACCCTTTGACTGTCGCAGCCGTATATATACGTCTTACGAGGTACCGTGTTTGACGTATATATACTCATAAATTCTAGCGGCTTCAAATCAAGCAGGAGAAAGCTGGTAGGCCCACATGTGAGAGAATGGGTCTGTGTGGTCAGTGTGCACCATATAAAAAAAAAACCTGGAACACGCAGTGCATAACGAGAAAAAAAAAACTCCGACCGTTTTTTTTAATTAAAATGCCGACTTTGTGGTCTATTTTCGTATAGTATTTATGGTTGTATTCTCGTTTTCTTGGTCTCATTTGATAGAATGGAAAACATGTTATAGAAATAGAGGTGATTTTGATTGATTTTACTATAAAAAGAACCTAGAAATGGAGCTCAAAGTAGGGGAAATGTTTGATTCTTGCCAATGTTCAAAAGTAAACAAATGATGCCATTGTCCAATAAATGTCCAACTAGCCATTCTAATATGCAGTCGTGAATGGGTTGATGTTATTTATACAATTATTGCAGTAGTCTGCATAATAGTAAGTCTTCTATTTTTTGTTTAAATAAAAATTCAAAATAGAAAGCAAGAGTAATATCGGAGAGGCCTGCAGACATGACTGATGAACAAAGAAAATGTTATTTTAGAGCCAGGAATGTCTGCATTGTTCATTCTGGACCTTATTTTGAAATTGTCATATTTTTTAGTTTTCGTGAAATTGGCCAAATTGCAAATTTCTGACCACATTATTAGGTAGTTGAAATCGGTAAATGGGCAGTTTCTTGTACTCAATCGATAGAAAAAATGGAGTTCTAAAGAAATAGCTATGAGTTTGGGCGACTGGAACAATGGAATTAGCCGAAAATAGGGCTCAAAGTGGGCGAAATCGCCGATTTGTAAACAGCACCGAGGTCGCTAACTTCGCGAGAGCATAATTCCGTCAGTTTTCCATCAAATTTCGTTTTTTTTGGTGTCATTACAATCGGGAAAAGATTCTCTATCATTTCATAAGAAAAAATAATTTTTTTTTTTAAATTTTGCGACACCAGGAGACACCTCAGGATTGGGGGTTGTCAGTCAAAGGGTTAATTTATAAATAAGTACATTGTTTCAGTGTGTTTAGTGGTGGTGGCCCACCATTATATGACTTATGCTGTCAGTGGCCCTGATAAACCCACCACCACCACTAGTCGCATACATAATGACATTTTATTCATTCTAGAGTATATATCATGTTTCTATGTTATTAATATTGTTTATTATGTCACATTAGATGAATTGTGATAGATAAATAAGCCGTAGAGTTTATATTAGCATCATGTTTAAGTATTTTGTCCTGTCTCCAAACAGTAAACTCTCCTCCCTCTATACACCAACAAGAGTCTTCAATAAAGTTGAAAGTGATGTTAAATGTTCATTTATCCATTTCATTAGTGCTTTATATTTATTACTCACTGTTTTCTGTATGTAAAACTATAGTTATTCTTTAAAAAAATTAATTTTTTGTTAATTTTGGGTGTCTGAAATGGATTAATTGTATTTACATTATTTATGGGAAATATTACTTTGGTTTTCGCACTTTTCAGATCTGGAACGAATTAAGTACAAAATCCAGGGTTCCACTGTAATAGTATGAGGGAGGAATCATAGGAACCTCGATCTACTAGCCCTATGGGTGCGAGGAATGGTTCTAATATGCTTTCATAATCTGACCATGGGCTCAGCAGATCAATGTCTGCATGACTCCTCCCTCATAGGAAATACCTTGGGCAATTTTTTTTTTTTTTGTTGTTGGCCTTGACACCCAGCCTGACATCACAATACAGATTACTTGCCAAATGCAACATCCCCACCCTTCCTTCAGAGTGCAGGCATTGCCCTTTCCCCACCTCCAGGTCTCCAACTGATTTTCAGTCTATGCTCTGAGTATGTATTCATACCAAGCATTGCTCTGACATGTCTCCTTCACTGCAAGTTTTAGTACAACTGTACTCTGGTACGCTGTATAGCCCTTGTGGCTTAGCGCTTCTTTTTTTTATTGTAATGTACTCTGGTACATTCTCTCTCCTCCATATGTGTCTTAACAAACCACATACCTTCTCCCACCCAACCCATCTGGTCTATGGATAACCTCATCTTTCCTAGCCCCATTTCCTGACACATCCACTCCCAAAAATTGAAAGGTATCTACTTCCTCTTTACTCCCTCTCTCCAATCTTTCATTGTACAGAATTTTTATCTTCATTGCCTTGCTTTTTTTTGTGTTCACCTCTACGTACCCTCTTTTCTTTTTTTTTTTTAAATCTCCTGCAGGTACAATCACAAAAAAAAAAAAAAAACTTTTGTATCAGATCAAACATCTTTCCCCCACATACCCTGACATTCGCTTCTTTGATAACTACATATACAAATATGTTAAACAACCATGGTGACACTACACATCAAAGTCCTGCTTTCACTAGGAAATAGTCTTCATCTGTCCTACATACCCTAACCTGAGCCTTACTACTAGCATTAAAACTATTGCCTTTAGTAGCCTACCACCTATTCCATACATTTGCAGCAATTCTTCAATGTCTCACTGGCCATGTCTTGCCAAAGCAGGGTAGCAAAAAAAAAAATTTCAGTTGCTATCATGCCAGAAGTGTATTGACATCAAAGTTCCAATGACCTCAATCCCTTCTTAACTCTTAGCTTGCTCACACGCCAAGTCTTAAAAGCGCATTTCTATTCGCTGCAATCTAACACTCGCACAAGCCAGTTGGATGTTCAAGCCCTAGCTCCCAAAACTTTCTTTACTCTCCTCCTTCCACCCAGATTTATATACTGTCATACTGAATTATACTTTCAGTAACTCTTATACCATATACATGTAATCTCCACACTTCAAATTATTTGTATAATACTCACACCACATATCACCTTCAAACATGACATCTCGACTACTTTCAGACTCTTCCTTTCCGCAACATTTAAAACCTATACTTCACACCCATATGACAATGTTGGCACCAGTACTCTGATGTATCCCTCTCTCTCTCTCTCCTGTCTACAGATGCTTCAGTGCTCAGCCCAATTTCCCCTATTCTATTCTATGGTTCATCTCATTTTTTCATAGACATCACCACAAGCAAAGTACTGTACAACAGTTACCCTACACAAGCTTTTATAAGAAACAAGAAAAGAGAGGAAGAACACTGCAGCAGATCTACTGGTCTATACTCGGCAGTTCCTCCTCAAATCTTACTCTTCTCACCCTTGTTTGTCCTTTACCTCACTCTTGCATATGCAATTCCAGCTCCTTATTCTGCATCTCTCAAGAGTGTTGGTTCAAAGCCTTAATCTATCCTTGTATGAAAAATTCCTTATACAATCAATTTTGTTATTCCCTGTATATTCTCCAGTACTTTTATATCTAGTCTGAGTTTCATAATCTAAGGGAGGCCTTACTAATGGTGTATAGAGCAGTATGACCTGTGGACTCTCACACTTTTAGTTATAAATCCAGTAATCAAGTAGTCTTATTGCACACACAAAATTTATGTTCTACATCTAGTTTATAAGATTGAGGTTTATTTTCATTCCCAATGATTAGGACTTTGCACTTATCCAATAGTAGTAGTCTAGTCTCAGACTCCCTTAGTGCTCTACAGGCTATACGAAAATTTGATACATCTCGCCCCCTAGTTCTCCGTATCCAACTTTGGCTACGCCGTATCTCTACGAAGCATAAAGATATTATTTTTTGTTGGGTCCCTGGACATGTCGACGTACAGGGCAATGAACAGGCAGACACTGCTGCGCGGTCAGCAGTACGTGACCTACCAATTTCCTATCGAGGTGTTCCAGTTCTGGACTATTTTGCTGCAATAGCTACCCACCTTCATGCCCATTGGCAACAACGTTGGTCAACTCTGCTTGGCAACAAACTTCATTCTATTAAACCAAGCATAGGTTACTGGCCGTCTTCTTGTCATCAGTGCCGTGGTTGGGAGACCACTCTCTCCTGTCTTTGCATTGACCACACTCGTCTTACGGGTATCTCATGGAGAGGCACCCTGTACCTCTCTGTGAGCAGTGTCAAGTTCCTGTATCGATTAGCCACATTCTGTTAGACTGCCCTCTCTATCAACGAGCACGCAGAATTTACCTCCAACGCCGTCTTCGTTCTACTACTCTCTCTTTACCTTCCCTTCTTGCTGATGGACCCTCCTTTAATCCTGACTCTCTCATTGACTTCTTGACAACGACTGATTTACTCCACAAACTCTGATGATGATACCATACGCACTCCCCTCAGCCCTTTCTAGCTCAGTCTCTTGCTGCCCTTTACCCTTTCACCATCCACTGCTCCGCTGTTATCCGTAACCTATTACTCGTCCACCTCCCTTTTGCCACCTGATGCCCTCGCTTCCTTCCTACCCTGCAGCGCTGTATAGCCCTTGTGGCTTAGCGCTTCTTTTTGATTATAATAATAATCTGAATTCACTCTTGCATTGAGGTTAAGGATAATTGTCTATTAAAATTCCATAATTTTTTTTTAACTTATGGAGAAAATTTCTATTGCAGGAAGCTGAGAGAACAAATAGACTCACAGCTGGGGCCTCAGGAAGTCAGTCAGTTGTCAGACACAAGTGACTACAAGAGTAGCTCCTGTTGAACTTCTGACTAGCAATCACATTGTACTGGAACCTTTATTGAAGGACTCCATTAACAATGAACACTCATTTTTCATATCAAAGAATTTCTTGCAAATTACTAGTATTGGCCATGACAATTTTTTTTTAAAAAATAGTGTTCAATGCTGGTATACAGAGAAGACATTTTTGTATCAGTCCACTGCTGATACTGAATAATGGTGAATGCTGTACACATCTCCTGATGATAAATGTTCCCCATTTTCCTCCATATCACATGCTGCCTAAACTTGTGTATGCTGTGTGGACTTTTTTTTTTTTTTTTTTTTTATTGAACCCTGTGCATCATCTAGTTTTGTAGATTATGTAGTAAAGCTATAAGCTGGTCAGGTATTACATACTGTATATTTTGAATTATTTTAATAGTGATTAAAGTTATAATAACTTGTAAATCTGACTTCATTCATCTTCAATATATTTTTGAACGCTAATAAGCCAAGTCAGATATCATCAAATACAAATCATAAGGCTTTGCAGCATGTAATTTTTTTTTAATACCTGTAATACAGAATCATTACTTTTTAATTAAATAGTATTCCAGATCTGTAATTGTGCAGGAGCTGGCTTGTAGTCTAAAGTTTTCCAGGATACTGTATTTTGATGTCAAAGACAAGCAGCCTGGATAAACTAGTTTCTTGTTAACCAGCTACTCAGGACCTGCATGATCCAGGTACTGGTGCATTTCTTTGGTATACATCAGTTACCAAGTCCCATAGCCAATGCTGCCTTACTGTTGGTATTACTATTGTCATCACAAAGAATGGTTTCCAGAATTACGGTAATTGTGAAAACTCAATATTTATATTGAAAAGAACCCCTGAGAATAACTTTTAATAGATTATAAATACATCTGTTTCTAATTTTGCCAGCTGTGTTTCCTACTTAGAGTTTACTGTAATTCCATTCTGTGTGGTTACCCATATTTTGCCTTGCTCACTATTTTCCTGTGCACAAATATCATGCAAGGCTGATACTGTCAGTTGATATATCAACTTTAGCACCTCAATTCTTCTCAATATTCTTTTTGTTGTCTGGTCTGTACCTTTATAATACAGTATATATAATCATTGCCTCATTACAGGAGGCATTTCTAACCAAAGATTCACATTTATATGTTTGGATATAGATATATAATTTTTATTATTGCTAGCAGTTCATCTATGTCACACCAAGGGCTTTAAATACTGAAAATATATTTTGAGTAAGAATGGCAAATCACTGAAGTCATGGAGCGAGGCAGTATATACAAGTTATAGTAGTAGTTACTGTCTTCAATACCATGAATATGCATTAGCCCATTCCAAAAAAATTACATTTTTTTTTCTTGTATATGGCAGATGTACTCTATTTGTTTCAGAGTGTATTTATTTGATTTAGTATTTGAGTGGCAGAATGCTATTCTGTAAAATGTATATAATGTAAATTTTATAAATTATGTACACTGTTTGGTACCTGTTTCATGATCCTCGTGCACATTATGTTGTCTCATTTAGACACGACTTAGGTTATCATGTAAATAAAGGTGTGAAAATAAATATATGTGCTAACTTCATGTTCATTTATCCTCGATTTTTAACCCCTGCCTGAAGAGCAGTCTTCAACAGAATAAATGAAATATTGTGGCATCCCTTAAATATGTGGGATATTGACATATGTACCTGACATCTAATTTCCTTTACTTGTTCCTCTGCCCGACTGGTTTCCAAGATTAGACTAACAGCTATTCCCATGTGTCTGTTGCTGTATGACCCTAGTGGGTTCAGTGCTCGGTTTTGATTATAATAATTTCATGTGTTATGCATGGAAACTTTCACTCTTCCTTCACCAGGAATCTAAGTCTAATCTTTGAGCTGCAGCCCACTGATGGGCAATGCACTTTGGTGGAAGGAGAGAAGAAAGGTCAAAGCATTGCAAAACCTAAGACTGCCATTTGATACCTCTGACCAAAAGTTAAACACTGTACACATCATCACTTTCAAAACAAAATTTATATTACAAAAATAATTTAATTCTAACCAACACATACACAACAAAATACAGTGGACCCTTGTTTTTCGTAATTAATCCATTCCAGAGTGTGACTAATGGCGAAGCTGATGATTTGCGAAACCATTTTCCCCATAAGAAATCATGTAAATCCAATTAATGTTTCAGACCAAAAGCATTAAAAAAATATTTTTTTTTTACATGAAATATAGCTTTACATACACAGGAAACAATGAGACATGAATAAAACAATACTATCACACCTTTATTGAAGACTTGGTGTATAAATAAAATGTCATTCCACATGTTAGGAATTGTGGCGGCGGTAGGGGTGTGTGTTTGGAGGCAGGACAAAATTGTCCTTTAATATGACACTATCAACTCTACAGCTTATTTATCTATCACAATTCATCTAATATGACATACAATGTGGTAGAACAATTAGCTTGCACGTATTACTACTACAACTAGCATTGCACTTCACTCTAAGCCTATATATACCCTGTGTCCATGTACTGTTTGTAACAGCTTGACAAAGTGGGAGAGTGAAACGTTGCCACAATAAAATGTCACGTTAGTTGCACCTGTGTCGTTTACTTTACGTATTGTTGATAATTCTACCACATATATACAATATTAATAACATGACATATACTTTAGAAAGAAAAAAAAAATTTTGAAATGTATGTCACGAGTGTTGCGTTTTGTTGTTGCCACTGAGAGCATAAGCCGTACATAGTGGTGGTGGAGCTGGCAGTGTTGTCAGTAGCCCTACATAACTTCAACAACACTGGAGGAGTTAGGTTCGTATTGTCCTTTTTCTATCGATTAATTGCTTAACTTACTTGCTACACTTTATCGATGGGTAGCGCTATAGCCTTTATCGACTCATGCTCGTTTAGTATTGTACATATCGTAGAATCACTGAAGAAGGTACATTCTCCCCTCTCTCTTCCTCCTCCACTTTAGTACTTTGCTAGGAGTTCTTTCTTGAATTCTATCATGTTTCTCACCTTTACCAAAGGCCTGGCACTAGGAGCTTTCTTTGAGGCCATGGTGGCTTATTTAGCAGTTGCTAGCACTAAAATAAATTGAATATTACGAAATGTATCGAATGAATGCGTGGGATAGCCCTCACTCGCTGATAAACAATGGCACACTGGCTGTGAATGGATTTGCGAGTCAATATTTTGACGAAAAAAGTTGAAATTTTTGAAAAATTACGACTTCCGATGCTTACGAAAAACGAGGGTCCAATGTATATTATCACACTCGAGTTGAAAGAGTGAATAAAAAAATGAATTGGTAAAGTTAAAATTTACTTAATAAGGTCCCAAGAGGTTTTCTGGTAATTAGGTGAGAAGGCTTAAGCTGTAGGCTGTTAAAATTTTCCATGGGAGGAAACAACTGACGACCCAGTAATTACTGGTAAAACTGGCCAATTTTTACTACTGCCAAGGCACTATTTCCATGAATTTCTTCATTACTGCAGTGGCATTATATGCATCTCCAGGGACCCTTCCCCTCAAGGAAGGTTCCTTGATGTTGGTGAGGGGCTCTTGATTTAGGGAATTGGATCTGTGCTCCAGTTCCCCGAATTAAGCCTGAATGCCTTCCACATCCTCCCCCCCAGGCGCTGTATAATCCTCCGGGTTTAGCGCTTACCCCTTGATTATAATAATAATCCAGGGACCCTTCTACATTATGTAATTCAGAATGCTTCCATATGTAGGGATGACTCCTCACCCAGTTGTCATAAAGAAATTTGAGAAAAGACAGCTTGCAAATAACTGATAAACTACTCAGACCAATTGGTACCTCAATGCTGTGTCACCCTAACACTACTGAGGTGTGCCCAGGGTGCTTGTTCAACTAAGACCCCAGCAATTGTTTCAGTATAAATGATGAGCATATTTCCCCTAAATTTGCTAAAATTAGCTCCAACCAGTGGCGGCTCATCAAAAAATAGAATAGGGGGCTGTGTGACTGCAAGTCTCATAGAACAGTATAATAAACGTTATTATTTTTAAAATTAAACTAAATTTAATAATGATAAGCATTCACATATATGTATCCGTAGAGGTTGTCACAGTCCTGCTGGACACGTGGCTAGCTGAGGTGATGTTATAACTAGAGTGGAACCCCGGATTTCGTTCTTAATCCATTCCAGAAGGTCATTCTAAATCCGAAATGTATGAAAACCGAAGTAATATTTCCCATAAGAAATACAGCCCCTCCTCACTTAACAACGGAGCTTTGTTCCTAAGATTAGATTTTGCCACTGAAGTGGCTAGTTTATTGTGCACCTCATATCCATCCTGTGGACTTTTGCGCAAGAGCATGTGGATACACAAAAGGCTTAGGAACTAGGCCCCAAAAGGGTTAACAGGTGTGCATATGGGTTTATATCTACATATCTACAGTTCACTTATCTGTTACAAGCAAATTTAAGAAATTGCTTACTATATCTGGTATCTTATTTTCATTAAGATATCTTGACATGTCACATAAGTTATTATACTGTTTCTGTATTTCTCAATAAGCGGACAATTAAGCACACAGTGTTCAAGACAGTGACCATATGCCTGATCACATAATTTGCATTTAGTTTGATCATCATCAGTGTCTCCCAAACTGCCAGAAGTACTTGTAACCAAGCCTAAGTCTGGCCACCACAACATCAGTCAGTCTGTTCACATTGCAAGTTGCTCCATAAACATACTTATCTACGTTTATGTTGTCACAGTGGGTTATTGATCTACTTAGGCTTCTAATTACATTCCTATAACAATCATTTTCATTATTTACTTCTCTCCTATTATTATTCCTAATGCTAGACACAGATATACTAAAGTTATATTCTACATTCTCCTTCTGGGTACTCTTCTTGGCTAACATATCAATTTTATCATGAAGGAGTAATCCAGTGTGTGATGGGATCCATAGCAATTGTACATTAATTCCTTTGTCCCGGATTTTTGAGTATCTATACCTGGCTTCTCCATTGAGCATGTTGTTGGAGTCATTATACGAGTCAAGAGCATTCAGTGATGCCATAGAATCAGTGACAGAGTCAAGCTCAGTGTCACAAGTTAACTTCAGTGCCATTAGGATTGCAAACAATTCAGTTTGCACTGTAGATGCCCAGTTGTTAATTCTTATGCCTAGTTCAACAAGTTTATCGCTCTTAACTAGGGAGGTGGCAACAAGAGCAGATGCAGCTCTGCCAGAAGACTCCTGTTTAGATCCATCAGTGTATATAACTTGTGATAACTTATTACTACCAGCTAGGCAAGAAATTTCTTGAGCAGTTGCTTTAACAAGTGATTTAAGGAATGGATTACAGTACTAGCAATGAGCTTCTTGGGAGGGGCTTGCAGGTATGTGATATTAAATAAGCACATCTTCCATGGAGGGGTGAAATGCTCTTGTTGTCTACAGTGATACAGTTCATGCAGGTTATAAAACTTAATGAAATTGCACATTTTCACAATCCATTTAGATCTGTGTGTATTTACTTCTAGACACTTAGTAAGATTCATTGTGACAGTGTCTGGGTCATTTAACATTCTAATACCGAGTACAGTGTTAATCTCAACAATCCTATCACTGATACTAGAAATACCAGGCTCCTTCCTCATATTAAGAATCTTTGTAGATTTGGGACAGCCAAGAATAATTCTGAGAGCTTCATTTTGCATTAACTCCAAGGGTCGGAGATAACTTTCTCTAGCTAATATCAACATGGGAGCAGCATAATCAATTAAGGACCTAATATAGGCTATGTACATCATTCTCACAATTCTCACAATAGCACCATAGTTGGGGTTGCAGCCAGCAACAGCTTTGAGAGCATTTAGCCTATCTTTGCATTTCTTATTTAGTTGTGGCATAGTGGATTTGTTAAAGTGTATATATACACCAAGATATCTGTAAGTTTTAACGTAGCTAATGTTTTCACCCTGCAAATATATGGGTGGGGGATGTCCTTTGCTTGTTTTAGAGGAAGATATTATGAGGCCTAGTTGATTACAAATTGTTTGAACTTCATTAAGAATGGTACTCATCTTATGCCCTGTTGTATGGATCATGATGTAATCAGCATAGCTTATAGCTATATGTTTAGGTGAGGCAGGTAGAGCATTAATCAGAATATTAAATAGCATGGGACTGAGAACTCCTCCCTGCAGTATACCAAGGGACATTTCTTTAGACTCACTTCTAAAGCCTTGGTAGAGGACAGAGGGTACTCTATTTGACAGGTATCCCATTATCCAGCAGAGTAGGCTACCACCAATATTCATTTTGGCTAGTTCATGTAGTGTAATGGTTCTGTTCGTGATATCAAATGCAGATTTTAGATCAAGAAATGTGGTAAAACTAGTAGAGGTGTGTGCAGTGAGAAAGGTGGAAAGTTGGTGTCTTATTCTGTGGTGCAGTCTGTTAAGTATCATTCTTTCAAAAGTTTTACAAAGACAACTAGTTAAGGAGATTGACCTAAATGTATCTGGCTGTTGGGGCTTAGAGATAGGCACAATGAGACTATTGGTCCAGGAAGTAG